TGGACAGCATGTTGCTCCATTGTACTTTTTGGAGAATCAGTCTATATAAACCTATGCACATTTTGCACATATTTTATTGTTTTTACAGTGACTATCATCAGCACATTTTGCCCACACCTATGTATTTATTTTTTATTTATTTTTATTTTTGTTGACATTTTTGTTGTCTTTTGTTTTATAACTATTCTGATGTCTGTTTTTGCTTCTCCTGGGCTGGACTGCTGTAACACATCAATTTCCCTATGGGATTAATAAAGTCTTATCTATCTATTCCTGAGCTAAAGAAGACCTTCCTCAACCCGGGCAGCCAAATTCCCTGTTACAAGCAGGGGCGTATTCGTTACAATATAAAACTAAACCAATTTAATAAGGAAAAAATTAAATGAACGAAATACCACGGAAATTAATTGAATAGACAGGAATGCTCTTGCATCATGTTTAATAATTAAAATATGAATCTACATACATGTATTTTTGCTCTTATAACATTGCTCTGTTTGGGTATTGAAATCCACCTCCAGTTTATATGAATTCCATAGCAATATGTTCCCACATCATTGTAATAATAATAATAATGAATCATTCCTTACACTTATATAGCACTTTTCTGGACACTCCCCTCCTCTATCAGCAATGTGCAGCCCCACCTGGATGATGTGACAGCAGCCATAGTGCATTAGTACACTCATCACACAACAGCCATTAGTGGGGAAAAGAACAGAGTGATTAATCTATAGATGGGGACTATTAAGAGGCCATGATTGGTAAAGGCCAATGGGAATTTCGGCCAGGACACCAGGGTTGTACCACTACTCTTTTCAGACTCAAACAGGCTACAGGGTGAGCGCCCCCTAATGGCCCCTCTAATACCTCTTCCAGCAGCAACCTTTTTTTGTCTCCCATCCAGGTACTGGTCAGGCTCCCATCTGCTGAGCTTCAGTGGGCTACCAGCTGTAAACTGCTGAGGTCCCACATTGTATTCATTAAGAGACGTTTAAGTCCCATTTTCATTTTCTGGGGAACTCGCGTAAATTCATACCCGAAATCTCGTTTAAGGAGTGCGTGGTGAAACACATACTCTCTTACCCTGACCCCTGTTGGACACACAAAGTAATTTCCTACTACACGCAAAACACGATTCTTCCGCCCTGGTTTCCCAAACTCCGGCTGCTAGGAAGACGGGTCCGTCTGCAGGTTTTCATTGTTGTGCTTCCGTTGTTAATGACCTATATCCGCTTTACGGTTATACAATTCCCCTGTTTCCCCCCGAGTCTTCAAGTGCTATTTGCTTTACAGAGACCTAGAAATCCTGGCTGCATATGCGGTGGTCCTCCAGGAGCAGGATTGGACAGACTCGAATATGAATGGTGTTCTTTGCCAGTGTTATTCTGACCTTAAGTGGGAGGGCTGGAATCTTTCCCCATTTTCCTTCCACTTAAATTATTACGTCGTCTGAACCAAATGATCTCTACCTGCTTGAGACTTCGATTTAACCCCTAAAGCCGCCGAATCCACAGTGCTCCCGATACGTGTGTGCTGCTCTCGCCTATAGCTTTGCATACAGCTGGTGATCTAGGCTGCACTAGCTGGCTCTCCGAAACGTCTTCGGCTCCTATCAAATATCAGGGTCTTCGCTATTTTTTTTCTGTCAGTAATAGACCACGGATACCGCCGAAACCGTGTAAACAAAGTTCAATAACTATACAACATACGTCGTTTAAATGATTATATTTTAATTTCGCTATACTATTGGCAAACAGTGTACGGAACACTCACACTGCGCACCTGCAGCAGATAGCGACATAGAAACTCCATATCTTTTTGTTGTTGTGTTCATGCTGTAATATTAATGAGTGCCGGTGTCGTTATGCGTTTTGCACTTCTCCACCTCGACGAGTGTTGAGTCGTTCATCTTTGAAGTTCTTGTTTTACTTTACTATAACTCGCATTTACGTTTTACGCTCCACTACACCTGCTCAGACGCATAACGACAGACTTGACGCGAAGCCTGACGGCTGCCCGCGATGCCGTTGTACACTGCAGCATCGATTTCAATGGATGCCTAACTGGAGCTACAGTCGGACTTCTGACGCGCGTAGAAAAACTTGGCTACTTTAGATTACCTTCTTGAAAAAATATATGCGGTGTTAGGCGTCCTCGGCACTTGTTCTGGAGAACCGATGAGTCTAGCCGATTTGTGGGACTCTTCAGCACCATCAATTCTGATGTGTGGTGAGCGTTCTGGTATATCATCCAGGTGGGGCTGCACACGGCTGGTGGTGGAGGGGAGTCCCAATTACCTGTAAAACGCTTTGAGTGTAGTGTCCAGAAAAGATCTACGTAAGTGTAAGGAATTATCATTATTATTTTTACAGTTTAGTGTCCCCATCACCATATAGGGGCATTAGGACCCACACAGGACACAGGCGAGCTCTCCCCACTGATCCCACTAACACCTCTTCCAGCAGCCTTATCTTTCCCAGGTGGTCTCCCATCCAGGTACCAGCCAGGCTCACACATTCTTAGCTTTAGTTGAGTGCCAATTACCCATTGGAGGGAAATAAAGCTGCTGGTTAACTAATAAATGATTAACTGAATTATCAACTCAAAGGCATCTGTATGAAAGGCTGTTTTTTTCCAGTATGTAAAGACACCCCTTGGTATGTTTGAGCAGGACTGGAATTGATAAGCAAAGCAAGCCTGAGGACAGAGGACAAAGAACACTGCCCCCACCTTAAGCAAGAGATATAGAAATTAGATGGATTAGTTTTGTGCCGCTATTCGACAAGAGCGATATCAGGATGTGAAAGTGACGAGTTTCTGGAGCTGTCCGAGCACAGACCAAAATGCTGGCTCTTTTGTGGCCCTTGATTCGATTATAACAAGTGGTTGTTCCGTTGTGTAAAACTGCAATTGACCAGCTGTGATAAATTCGATAGAGTGGTGGGTTTCGAATTTGCGAATTATTTCACAGGTGATATTTGCTTACGCAAATGAACAAAACATGATTTCAAGTCCGTCTTGTTCCTCAACTCAGTATGGAGTTGGCCTGTTATTCACGCTACAAGATTTACCATGAGCTCCCAGTTTCTACAACGCTCCTTTTCACTTTAGGAAGGTTGTTCTTTGTGTACCATAGGGAGAGAAGAGATGCCAAACGAGAGGCAAGTGGAATAGGAAAAGTCATTATCTTTAACGTGGTCACAGACGATTGTTTTAGTGGTTAGTAATGCATATTCCTATAGCACAACACGTGTTGGTGCTACTGTTGTCTGCTCACAGTATAGCACAAATGGCTTCATTATGTGTTTGCATGGGTTTCCACCAGGTGCTCCGCTTTCCTCCCACAGTCCACCAATAAACTGGTAGGTTAAGTGGTTTCTTGAAAAATTGCCCCTGGTGTGTGCGTGTGTGTGTTTGGGTCCATCTGCCCTGCAATGGACTGGCAAATTGTGAAGCTAGGGTAATAGGTGTAAGGGAAAATATTTATCAACTGAAAGAGACGTCAGGGATAACAATAGATTTTTGCATATGCACAGAAGAACATAAGTGTGAGTATATAGAAAATAAAGAAGGAAACTGCGGAATTATTTTTTGAAGCACATGTATTACTTATAAGGAACTTATTAAAATTTGTGTAGGAGACAAATGTTTTTGGATCAATAAACCTCTGCTATTTAAATAATATAGGCAGTTTCTTAGTAAATATGTGAAATAATCAGAGCTCTCAAAATGTGCCGGTACCTCAAAAGGGAACTTGTACATGATTTATATATGATAATTAGGGGCCCATAACTATGAAGGATCTTTGTAAGATTGACAATTGTAAAGGGAAATCTGGGCTCTTATAATCTGTTTTCCCAGTGGGTTGCTGCCACTGCCTCTGTGTCTACCCAACAATTGATGACAGAGATTTTTTGTTTCGATTTTTTCTTTTCACAAAAATACAGGGAATCACAAAATAGCTTTACATTAATATACATACTTAAAACAGTATATAAGATTACATCTCATTACGGTTTGAAGTGATAATAGTTACATAGCAACAATTTCTCCTGTTTTGGTGCAAAGCACATTCTTTACTTAAACATGATAATGTTTTTCACAGCTTCTTGAGATATTGTCCTATGCCGTCTGTTTCCCACAGATTTTCTGCTTCCTCCCTCCCTTCTCTCCACAGATCTCAGAGGTAATAGTTTTCTCAAGTGATGATCAGGGCAAGGATACCTGCTGCCTTGACTAGGACCTCGATGCCTTTGAACACCCCCATGTTACTCACTCTCCCTTGGTGGGCACTGCCCTTCCGCTTGAATTTTGATCAAGGGACACACTTCACAGGGAAGGTGTGTCAGGCTGTGGCTGCGTTGTTCGGGGTGAGATGGGACCTTCATTGCACCCATCACCCTCAGTCTGCTGGAACAGGAACAGAACTCTGAAAGATCGACTAGACATCAGACTGAAGGAACGCCATGGGTAGATGTTCTTCCTGCTGTCCTGTGTAGCCTGTGGGCTGGATCAAACAGAACTGTGTAACAGAGCCTGTTTGATATCATCACGGGCCAACCAATTATACTTCCTGGAGGGCCAAATCTGGCTAATGGATTGTTGAATTTGCTAATTCTCTATTGTAGTATTGTAGGTTGTTAATTGAAGTGGTGCACGGGGCTGGTGAACAGGTGCTGGACGCTTGGAGACCTCCAGTAGAGAGAAGACACGACCTGATACCTGACGAATGGGTGTGGGTGAGGAAGATATACCCTGCCAGATGTTGCAACCCTGCTGGGGAGGGACCTTATCAAGTGCAACTGACTAAATGTGGACTATAGCTGCTGCTTCTGTGCTAATTGTACACCCTGAAGGGATCATGAAGGTCAAAAAATGATTTCATGGGAAAGGTTTCTACATCTCTTATCTAGTGGCAGAACCTGATTGGTAGAACAATATAGTTTTAAGGGAGGTTACCCTTGGGAGTGATTCCCCTAGATGCAAATGATTATTGTGGTTTGTTTGTTCATAATAAGATGTTTTGCAGGAATGGAACAAAGAGAAATTTACAACTTCAGCTAGAATTGTTATTACCCAGCTGTTGACCTGTCTTGTAAACCCTCTAAGATTATGCTGGGCTCCAGCCCACAGGGATTTATCTGTGCTAGTGAGTGAACTAATGAGTGAATAAGGAGACCGCTTTCTTCTCCTGGTTAGAGTCACTGTTTGGACCATGGGGGATGTATTTCTTTAAGTTACTAACACCGGTTATAGTAGCTGTGATACTTGTCTTCCTGTTATTATGTTGCTGTATGACATGTATTATTCCAGTGCTTCATAATATGGTAATGAATATGTTTACGCATCAGTATATTTTGTTAAGAACACAAGATTCCGAAGCATGGGAACCTCCTGGGAATCCATATGAAGGATCTAGCTTTTAAACATTTTAAGAATAAAAAGGAGGGAATTGAAATGGAAATCTAATGGGTAAATTGATTCTTAAAATGTTAAAGAGCTTTAGAAAAATATATGACAATGATGTAACTGCTGTGCTGCATGCAGGTTGTCAGAAGACAGTTTGTCAAGACAGGACATACTGTCTAGATGACCAAATTAGCTGAGTGCAATTGCTAAATTTTGCAGAATATGTGGTGGCGCTTCTTCTTTCGTTTCTATGTTGTAATCTTTCTTGTTCTAAGGAAAGAGTATTAGAAAAGGGACTAAGTGCTATATTTTTCCACTGCATACAAAATCTTTATAAAAAGCCTGTACTGCCTGTAGCAAGTTGAGTCTCTGATGCATTCTGCTGAGTGACAGCAGGGCTCCCAATATTGCAATATCGAAATAAAGACCTTATCAGGTGAGAACTCTCTCTTGTGGCTTCCTTGATAGGTATATTTCTGTGACACAGTTTCAAAGCTTGGTCACTGTTCCTGGTCAAAAAATTTGTCCATCCTGGCTGCACATTTTACCCTCCTTATTCTGCTACCATCTGTGGGCCACCCCGATCTGGGCATAATTCTGCAACAGCACTGCATTTCCACTTCTGTCAAATACTACCCAGAAGCAAAAGCATCCAATTTCATGACCAACCAGCATTCCACATTGACCCACATGGTATACTAGCGGCTTAATGTCCCTGCTGCCATTCATAACAGGTGAATTTAGCCCTTTGGAAGTCTTGCCATATCTGAAGCAGCTGCTCTGGCTGGGCCAGGGTAGCAGAGACATAGCCCAGGAAGCGGCAGCGGTTGTAGGCAGTGGGGAAGGGAGAGAAGGAGCTGGAGTCTGGGGGGTAGGTAGGGTGGATGCCCAGCTGCTGCAAGCACATGCCCACATACACATCCTCCAGGAAGATGGGCCTCACGGACTGGGATGCCTGCAAGATCTTGGGCACAAGGTCTGTTGAGAACACATAGCTTACCCCTGAGACATACTGGGGATAGAAACAGCCTGGGTATAGAGCGAGGGGCATGTACCACTTGGAGCCTGGATCTCTGCGGATAATGCCAAAGTTTATGATTCTCCCAGTCATGAAGTCCTGCTTGGGAGGGACTCTCCGAGGGTCCAGGACCTTGTTGACCAGGTAGTCCACGTTGAGGAACATGTCCGTGTCGATCTTCATGACGTAGGAAGCCCCAGGGCAGTAGGAGGCCAGCCAGTCCAGGATCATCATGGTCTTGATGGTCAGGTTGCGGTAGCTGTCCAGGAAGTCCTTCTGGACAATGTCCCGGTGCTCTCGGCTCTCCTTCTCCAGTGCTGCCTGGATCCGGAGGGCTCGGTCACCCTGGGGAAGCCCCACGTAGAAGATCCGCCAGATGATCACCCCTGGGATCAGGCCCTCTCGGCCCCAGGTCTTCCGGATGGCGTCTCTGGCCGCGTGATCAGCTGGAGCCACTGGGATCATGAGGATCAGGAAGGGGGACATCTCCCGACACTTGTCCGGCTCGTTGAGGATGTACCTGTACACGGCGGGGTAAGCAATGTTATAGTCTTCCAGGGAAGTGGGTTTAGTTCTCAGCATCTCCATTATCCTCCTTGTCAAGGACACACAAAAGGAGATGGCCATGATGGAGAAAAAGAAGACGGCAGTGCTCTTGAGGGACCAATTCCTCAAGACGACCATCTTCCTGCTGAAGAAGACTTCCTGTCTGACAGCAGCTGTTGAAGCCCGCAGAGCAGGAACGGGATCATACGCTGCAGGGAAAGTGGAAATTAAAAAAATAAAGATCAAGCCAGTGTGCATATCATTATTTATGTTAAAAAACAAAATTAGGCAGTATGTCCAGGTGGAACGGTGTTCTTCTGTGGGTGTGCAGGTTGTGGCTCCAGTAGGTGGCGCTCATTCCTCTAGACCTGAATTTCCACACCAATACCATATCTCAGGGGTTCCCCAGTCCTGGCCCTGCGGACCCCCACTCCAACTGGCTTTAGTTTCACCTGAGCACTCACTTCAATAATTGAGCCCCTAATACACCTAATAACTGGTTTAACTTGAACTTGTCACTTGCATTCAGTTCCTTAACATGTAGGAGGTCGCCTTTTAAGTACTGCACTTCTTATGCAACTGAACATTTCTATTTCCAAGTAGAAAAACCTTGTAAAGGTTGTAACCAAGCAGTTTATTGGTTCAGTTCAAGATTCATTGAAGTAAAGAGCCCAGCTGCATTAAAAGCCAGCAACTCTATCCCAGCATGTAATTAAAAAATTTTCAGTCATTAAAAAATCCCACGACACCGTTGATAACCCCAGGTGTGTTAAATTTGATACCCTAGCTCAGGGTAGAATTAAGCCTATCCTGGCAAGCAACAGGCACAAGGCAGGGTACACCTTTAACAGGACACCAGTCCATCATAGGACAGGCAGGCACAGACATACACCACAACTAGCCAATTAATCTACCAGCATGTCTTTCAACTATGGGCTGAATGCCACACGAACACAGGGAACATGCAAACTTCACACAGACAGTATCCCAGGAATTGAAAACAAGGCAGCAATCCTAACCACTGTGGTACATCAGTACCTGGATGGGAGACCTCCTGGGAAAAAACTAAGGTTGCTGCTGGAAGAGGTGTTAGTGGGGCCAGCAGGGGGCGCTCACTCTGCGGTCCATGTGGGTCCTAATGCCCCAGTATAGTGACGGGGACACTATACTGTAAACAGGCGTAAAACCGAGGTCCTGACTCTCTGTGGTCATTAAAAATCCCAGGGCGCTTCTCGGAAAGAGTAGGGGTGTAACCCCGGTGTCCTGGCCAAATTTCCAATTGGCCCTTACCAATCATGGCCTCCTAATAATCCCCCTCTATGAATTGGCTTCATTACTCTGCTTTCCTCCCCACTAATAGCTGATGTGTGGTGAGCGTTCTGGTGCACTATGGCTGCCGTCGCATCATCCAGGTGGATGCTGCACATTGGTGGTGGTGGAGGGGAGTCCCCATTACCTGTAAAGCGCTTTGAGTGGAGTGTCCAGAAAAGCACTTTATAAGTGTAAGCAATTATTATTATTATTATTACCATGCTGACTGTGACTATCATAGGCGATAATATTATTAACTGCCCCGGAGTGGGTCAAACCATTTCAAAACGGGAGTTTCATTTGAGGTGTGTGCCTAGCTACAGGTGTAGCATGGATGATCAAAAGGGGTTTTCAGGTGTAAGACAAACAAGAAGAAATACCATCACACTTCTCTTCCCTCAAAGCTTGTGCTAGGCATTGCACAATGTTTACTGTTATATTGTGGATTTTTGGGTCTGTGGGATGTCTGGTTTCCAAGACTAAATTGACCTGTATATTGTAACACTTCGGGGTTCACGTGGGCACCCTTGCCGCTGCCACATCAAGTCGGCCCCCCACTGTCGGGGACTCGAACCCGGGCTTTAGCGTCACTCAACAGGAACCCAGCCTCTTGAGTTAAAGGGAAATCTCCCCTCAGACCGACGGCTGCGGTCCCTGCTATTCACAGGAAAGGGCGTTGACATCACTGCGCTGGTAAGCCGGCTATCACAAGCAATGGAGGCCATATCCGTTACACTATACAGTACTGGTTTAACTGGCAGATGTTTCGTAACGTTTTGTGTTGTGTCTTGTTTATACATTTTTGATTTATTACTATTTAGTAACTAGAGGTTTATAAGACAAATCACGCGCCTCACAAATATCCCGAGCGGTGGGTCCACTTAAATTAGTTCACAAATAATACGCCTAATACTAGATTTTCAACGTGGCAACGTTTCTTGGAACTAAACGTTTATGTACAACGAAGAGAGCGACAGCTGCAAAGCTGTTTTCAAGACTTTTAACCGTGTGGCAGAAACAAAACTAGAATATGTCTAGACTAGGAAAAAACGTTTTCTTTATGGAAGTGCGCCAAGCTAAGTCTCGAGACACGTTTTTGTTCAAATTTCTCAAAAACAACAAAGCTGTGCGACGATACAAATTTTGGAGTGTTAATAACGGTGTTAAAACCTGCAGTAGACTGGCGACGTGAGGACTTGTTTTTACCCCTTGTGTGAAACAGGTTACAAGTTAACAATATTAGCTGACTCCCATTAGCAGACAGTATCTGCGCCTAAGCAATGCTTTCTGGATTGAAAGCACTTTCCTAACGCCGAAACGAATCGTAAAATAGCAAATAATTCCCGATTTATCTAAGTATTATTTTTGTACCCTTCTACCCTTCAAACTGGTAACAAACCTTGCCAAACTAAACGTGTTAACCTGGGGTTTGAGAAGTTCAGTAAAAAGGCTTGCGACCAGATTTTCAAAAACTTTGTTACTAAAAACCTTTACTATTCAAGGAACATTGTGCGGCGGTTTAGACAGCCAACCAGAAATTTGGAAAAACGTGGAATTAAATACGACGGATTCTGGGAACTACCGTATAGTTCTTACTCCTGTCTCTTTTGGAAAGGAGCTTCCCATGTTCTGCTACAACACTTACCTTGGCGAAATGAAGTGAAATAGGTCGATTTCACAAGCTCTTGGTTGTTTTTCATCCAGTTAGAGTTACAGGTTGTACTGAAGTTTTTTTTTGGCTTTCTTTTCATTCAGCAGCAAAGCAAGGTGTTATGATGATGCAGCGGTCACTGCCATGCTGCTGGATGTTTTAGAAACAAATGTTTGTAGTTTGTCGTTTCTTTCTCGTGGGGAAAAAATATGCGGCCACAAGCGATCTCACATTTTTTCTATTGAGGGGGTGGTATTATTACCAGTTACTAATATTTGAACCTTCACTTTTGAAGTGAGTGACAGCAACCCTCTAACACAAGGAGCCACTTGTGATAAAAAAAAACCCGACCTTCATAATCTTTATGCGAGAGATAAGATCCCGCAAAGTTAAAACGTTCGAGGGAAATGAGTGTATTTTGACGGACCTCCTACACAGCAAATAAACGTTCAATTCTCGGTCTTGAACTCCGGCGTGTTTTCCTATCACTGGTGTCCACCCAGTACAGAAAGTTGCGAATTCAGTTTTTGCGATTAACAATAGAAGAGGGCTACAGACTTCCTACAGGAACACCAGAGAGCAAACTCAGACATATTGGACACACTATTAGACGCAACTTGGACACTTTCCATAAACACGCGGTAACAATCCCCCCCAAAATTTGGCAATACAATGTTTAAATCGCATGTAGTATTTGGGGAATGTGTAATTCGTGCCGTTTCCGATTTGATGAGCGGAATGACGCCACTCCCTAATTAAATAAAACGCTACTGAAAAGGTAAGGTTACAATATTAAAACGAACGGCCGACATACAAGTTGTAGGAGCCGGTTGCAGGGCGGTGGTGGCACACAGGGATGCTGTCCATGTACTGAGCGACGCCGGAGACCCGGCTTGGGACGAACCAGGACGGGAGCGGCAAGGGAAGAAAACCCTCGAACTCGCTACAGTGTTTTATCTCTCTCTTATCTCCACTCTTCTTTTTTTCTAGTCACGTTATCACGTAACGATTCAGAAAACACAGAAAGTTTTATTAACTTAAACCTATCTACAACTGAAATAGAGGATTCTATACATCTAAAATATTTTAAACTGTTTAACTGAATAAAACAACAATAACATAACCTAGGCTTAGGTCATACAGCATACGCTTACACTATTATCTTGGAAACTAAAACGTTGGACATTGTGCTGTTTGTAAGGGGGACAACCTCATGGAGCTTCGTATTAGGGTCATACAAATAATGTTTTATTCGTTTGCTTAAAATAAAAAGATTTTCTACAGCAAGGAAATCCGAAACAGAAGTTACTTTTCCTTCAGGGACGCCAACAGGAATGCTGACATGCGGGACATGTCCAAGTCAAGCCGTCTGTCATGGTTCGAAATCAGGGGGTGGTCAGCCTTGATCCTTGAGAGCCACGGTCACAGTCCAGTCTTTCAATCTGTAAAGCCCCCGAAAACGCCAACAAGTTCATTCTTACAATTACTCAATTAAGTCAGGAATGGCCAGCTGCTGTCCTCGAGAGCTACACGTGTCGGTATTTTCATTCCATTTATTGAAAGAAATCGAAGAGTGACCAATAAAGTTGAATGAATGAAAGCCTCTTGGACTGCACTTCTCCGGGACCGAAATTGGCCACCTCTGCTTTTAAGCACTAATGTCTAACGAAAATACTTCCCCATGCCAGGGTAAATAGCGCTCCAGTGAAAACCGAGTAAAGGTTCGCCAGCACCAGGGACAGCCACCTCAATCCAGGCGGAACTGGTAAAAAACATTTCACATTCTGAAATGCTAGCTGAACCCTAATGTTAATGTTTCCGTTTTCTTTTTTCCTTTCCAGCTCCAGGGATTTTTTTGCCTATATTTTTGCAACAGAGCAGAAACTTGTGGTGTGTACTGTACTGACAGTGTTTCACCACGGCTAAACGTGCGTGCAGAATAATACCCAGAAACAACCGCTGACATTCTATACTTCTGCCTCATATTAACATTTTGAGGTGAAATAGAGACATTATCAGTACATAGCAAAAATGACAATTTCCATGTACTTTGTCTGAATATTTGTATATTAGTGGTTCGCTTTGCTGCCTCACTGGACAGGGTGCTATTGGTGTGGAGCTTGTATGCTATCCACATTTCCATGGCTTTCCTCCAAGTGGTTTTCTTCCACAATCCAAGTACATAGTGGCAGGTTATTGGCTTTTGGGAAAATTGGTCCTGGTGCATGTCTGTGTCTATCTGTCCTGTGATAGACTGGCATCCAATCCAGATTTTATCCCGTCTCGCCCTCGTTGCTTTCCGGGATAGGCTCTTAACCTACTAGCCTTACCGGACTATCTGAACGTATTGTCCCAATTTATTTCAACCCACCAAATAACTCCAAAAATATAAAATACAAATTGACAAAGATGTTTCCACAGGGCTCCTTTCAAGTAACAACAGGGGAAATTTCCTTAGAACCACCACTTCATTCCTCAGTTTCTGGATAACTCAAAACAATGTTGAGTTTAACAATCTAAGACGCACACTCTTGCGTTCTCACAGTTTAAGCGAGGAACAGTAGTAAACTGGACTTGGGACGTTCCGTCTCCACCTAGTCAAGAGATTCAGATTGTTGTTGATTTATAGGCTTTTAATCTTTGGTTGGCCGTCAGTGTATTAAAGTAAGCTTTAGTAGTTCCGGTGGGTTGCTGGTCAGCATGCATAGGCTGCAAAGGAACAAGTAATAGGTTTATTCCATGTTGAAAAGAGAAGAAAACAATGATTCAGACGTGGAGCCTCCTTTAGGTGCGAGAAGAAGGCTCACACCTGAAGAAGGCTTCACAGCTGAAATGTTGTGTTTTCTTTCTTCTCTTTTCGGCATGGAATACACCTATTACTTGTTCTTTAAAGTAAGCTTGCTCACAGCTACTGGTACTCATAGATGCTTCATTGCATCAGCAATACTTTATTGTGCTTTCTAATTTTCCTAAGGGTTCCAAAATAATGACTAAAGAACTAATAGAGCCCGAGCTGGACAAAGATTGACAGAAGTTGATTACACGCACACGCATGCCACCAGGACATCTATCGGCACCAAATCCAGGAACTGTAACCAAGGGGCAGATCAGTCTATCAGACATGTTCAACCATGCACATAAAACCCTGGTCATTGATTAGGGATTCATTTAAGTATTTAAACTCAGCTGGAATGGAAACCAGCAGGTGTGTGGGAGTTCAGGACCACAAGTATTAACTCCTTCTAATCTGCTCCACAGCAGTACTTCTATGCAATCAGCTCTTAAAGAACCATCACATCATCTCCTAAACTGTTTAATAATCTGCCAATCCAGGATCATGAGCTAGTTTGTCCCAGGCACCTGTTCTAAAGAGATCCACAAGAAGTCATCACCTGAAAACTATTTTATCACCTAGCAAAGGAGGTTGTCAAGAAAATTTCAGGTGGAAACAGAGCCAGAAAGTTTTTTTTTTAAATGACGTTCCACTGGTATTGTAGAAATATGATTTTAGCTTGGGGTCATTACTCCTGAACTAATCAGAGTTCATTTTAAACAGACACCAGCTGTTGTATGCAACATCTCAGGAATAGCTTGAAAGGTGCAGATAACAGTAGTAGGAAAAGAATGATCACTTATAAACACCCACTAACGGTAATAATGTAGGGTGACCATGGCTGTACGTGGAATATGATACCCTCAGAAACACTGCTGTAATTCAGGACACTGTGGGAAATACACCACCTTGTGTGCGTCTCCTTCAGTGTTCGCTGGAAATGGCCATTTCGTCGCAAATTAAACTAATCTTAAACTTTCACTGGTCTGAGACTCCTTGTATCCCTGTAGTATTAATAAATTAGCTAAAATTATGAACTCTTACAGGATATTGTTTCATAATTGGAAACCAGTTTCAATTGTTCTGTTGCTTTTATACAAATATTTACATGTTAAGCCATTTTATATACATGAACAATGAATTGGGTGTCTCCAGAAAACGCACTGAAAAATCATGTAAAATCTGTTGATATTCATCTTAAATTACAAAGATACCAAACAATCAAAGTTTTTGTGCCAATCATTAACACAAGAAGCCTTGAAGTTAAGTGCCGCATGACAGTCCAAGTGTCAACTTTGTTTCTTTGAAACCTAACAAGACTGTCATTGAGGTTTATTTTTTTTATTCCAGTCATCTACATTCACCAGTAAAGACTGGTTGAAATGTTTGAAATTAAAGATACAAAAAGAAAAAAAAACTATGGTTAAAACTAAAACACATTTTACACATAAAAAAGCTTAAGTACAAGGAACAAAAAAATCATTGTTTTTCTTTTTACAAACTGTTTGAGAAGGTGTAGATATTGTACAGTCCAATGCAGTTGGTTCTTCAGAACCTGTGTAGGTCTCCTCTTGTCACAATCAAGTCTGTTCAGCAGATGATGTGGACTCCAAAAACATCAGTGAAAGGATCTGACTGACTGCAACATCATGTCTGTGTCAGATGGCCGTTAAAGTTATGTCAAAGTAAACTGTGAAAAAACAAAACCAGGATCCCCATCACAGAACATAAACTCAAGTACTTCTGAGATGTGGTACGAAACTGGCAGGGTTATTTTGTTTTGGTCTTTATTTAAAAGAACAAAAAAAATATCCTAAGATCCAATAATATAAAATGTGGCTACATACAACTTCACACAGCTTCAAATACTCTGAACCAAAAATAAAAAGCCAACTTGAATTTCAAGAGGATGATGCCAGGAGTCCAGTTTTCCGCTTAGCCGTTGTGTAAAAAAAACCCGATGCAGGGACAATGAAGCATAAAAAAAAATGCGCGAGACGTTGCTCCTTTGGAAAAGGCAGGGTACACGGAAAGGGAACGGGGTTCAGTCTATCTGTACTGATAGCTCATGGTGTGATCCCCTCGCCCGTAGCCTCCTTGGTTCTGGTAGGAAGTCTGGTTGCCCCCATAACTCTGGCCACCGCCTCCTTGCGTGCTGTAGTTTGACTGGCTGTTGTAACCTTAAGGGGGAGAGAAAACCAGGGTTGATGGATGACGTTTACTGGGCTCTGGGAAGGTGATTGTCTGACCTTGCCCATTTCTTCTACATATATGACAAATGCCTATTACTTTTTCAGAACTTAAGCCCTTTAAAACTCTAAAATGGAACTCCACTTCCATGGACTTGCAAGTTTGTTGTTGGTAAGCTGTGGGAAGTGGTGCAGTCATCAGATGCTGGGTGGGTGAGACCGTTGCTCAGGAGAGCCTACTAAAGTCATGTTATACACAAGTTTCTCCAGCCAAAGAAAATGCATGTAAAATAACTCTTAATTCAACTGCAGCCCAACCCTCTTCATTTTTCCTGCTGTAACACAGCTGTATCCGTGCAAGTAGCCAGTACCTGCTTCCATCTTATCGGTTTGAATCGGCAAGTCCTCAGATATAAACGCCTCCCAAGTTCATATTCTTACCCTGGTAGTTGCTAGCGCCCGGAGCTCCTGTTCCACCCCCATAGCCCCCCTGTGAACTTGGGGCGTATGTGCCACTTCCAGACCCGTAGGAGTTGTTACTACCATAACCTAAGAAGAAAAAAAAAAGTATCAGTACTGACATCAGGGAAAAACAAGGTTAGATTAACAGCTGTGCACGGCAACATCTGTTTAGAGGGGAAAAAAGTATTATCAAAAGGGCCAGTATCTTTAGGATAGTGTTTGTAAGTAAAACATCTGCACTCACCACTGTTTCAAAGAACTGTTAGAACTTGCCATGTCTTATCATAAAAAGACTAAAACAAACTAGAAATAACTTCACTATCTAAATTGGGATTGCTCTATTTCTACAATTATCACAATGATGTAAACCAGGAATCTGCAGCCCTTGTACTTGGAGACTATAATTTCTGATTTTCCTTCTTTTTCAATCAAATGTAGTCAATTCAGCTGGTTGTTAAAAACGAGTCAACTGGATGTGATATAGACACCTTTCGGCCCCCTCAACGGATTTACTTCCTTATCCGGTGGGACACAAGAAGCAGGTGACAAAAAAGCCAAGAAACCAAGTCAGGAGAAATGAGCAGTCTTTGAAATCAGCTTCCAAGAGCTGCGAGATCTTCGAAACTGGACATTTCCACAATGCTTTTAACCGCACATCCATCATGAAGTTAAGCTTTTGGGAGAATAATCTAACCAGACCACGGTTAATTCTCAGCGCTCCACATGGGCCAGTCCTGGCAGCGGGTGGCACTCACCTTCGTAGCTGTAATCCTGGCTGCCGCCGCCCCCTGTCACCTGACTGGGGTAGGCGGTGCTGTAGTTGGAATACCCCGCGCCCCCCCCGCCACTCTGGTTATGGCTGTAGCTCTTCTTGCCTGGGCCTCCCTGGTTGTAGCCCTGGTTGTACTGGTTATAGGAGACCTGGCCTTGCGGGGGAGGCTGGTAGCCTCCTGCCCCAGCGCCAGGCCCTCCTCCTCCCCCGCCGAAAGGCTGCTTGCCTGGGCCGCCGCCGCCGCCACCGCCCGGGTGGTGTGGTGGCTTTTTGCCGGGGGGTTTGGGGTTCTGCGGCTGGCTGGGAAAGATGCCGTCGTTCTGGTAGTAAGAACCGTAGTTGCCGCCGCCGCCGCCGCCGCCGCCTCCTCCACCCCCTCCTGCCCCGGCGTTGGTGCCGGAGCCCATCCCCGCTCCCCCTGCTCCCGGACCACCGGCGCCGCTGCCTCCACCGTTGTTGTTGTAGTAATTATCTGGAGCAGAGAAAAACAGCTGAAAGCTCGCAGGGGATAGAGCACTGGCTCAGCCAGGGCTGGACACCTGCCAGGATACACACATTAAACACATCTGATTCAATGTAACTAAGGATGACATGTCTCTATCACATGAGGTTCAGCTGTGGACTGCTCTTAACAGGTGTGTGCATGTGTGTGGAGATGAATACATAAAGAGACAGGTGAACAACCTTTCACTTCCAAGTGTCTGATAGCACTGCCAAGTATTCAGGCAGGATAAGATTTTGTACAGATGTCTGATCATTTACCAATAGGACACACAAACAAAACACTCCTTTTTACTGCCCTCTTTGTAGAAGGACAAAACATTTATTGTGTAAAAAAAAGCAACATGACTACTTACATACAGTAACAACTGGTTTTAAAAGGAAATCACAGTATCGTGCAAGATTCAGCAGTGTCACTGTCTTTTAAAACTGTTACGATGGAAAAGTCAAGCTTATTACTACATCATTGTGTATGGCCTCGTTATTCAACGTAAAAAGCCACTCTGGAATTAAAACCACTGGATGTCTTACATCTAGTTTAGCCTGAACTAGCATTATTGATTGGCTAGCCTTGATCTATTGGCCCAACATACACAGGTAAAAAAAAAAATCAGCCTATCGGAAAATGAAAGATCCTTTAAAAAACATCTTGCACATAGTGGATGCATAATGACCAGGTAGTGAGCTATCTGCAACTTTTTAAAAACTGCTGAAGGACCTTGCTGTTAATACTAGTCATAAAAAATGGAAACAATGCATGACCTGGCTATGTAGTACAAAATATAGAATCCAGGAATCTGGGCATTCACCTTTATATCCAAATCCTTTCTCCATTCCCCCCCCCCTCCCCCACCCCCCCTACCGCATCAAAGCACCTCTACATTACAACCAGAATCCATTTTTGATTAAAGCTGTTAATCCAGGTAAGATCTGTCTTTAATCTTTTTTTCTTGAAAGTCCAGTTCCTGACAAACGATGCAGCAGCAAAAGTCGAGGTGTTGGGAGTTCTCTTGGATGCTCGGCTATTGGCTTCTAAACCTTGGGGCTTTTGGAAGTTGATATTGGATGGAGGGATTTTAAATGCTTGGATTTCTTTACAATGTGAAACATTTAGATCGTCTATGATGCAAAATCGTGGTAGCCATAGCAGTCTGAGACAAAATCACCTACAGAGTGAGACAGAGCAGAGAAAAAAAAAATTAGATTTTCTTTCAGAGTGGCACATTCGCCATTATCATCTCAATCTTAGTATTTTATTTTTAGATTTCTCTGCTCCTGTCACCCTCAAGATGGCGTTTCCTCAGAACAAGCTGCTGGGGGGGAGGGGGTTTTCAGGAAATTCCCATTGAGAATCAAAAAAGTGACGGATTGCGTCCTGTGGCTTAAAGCAGAGAAATGTAAAAGTGTCACAAAAGGGCAATTTTAAAAGGGAAGACAGACTAGGGGACTGTCCTTTAGAATGCTAAATTGGACCTCTTACAATGATTCTCAAATTAACATTCACCACTCAGATCAGATTTTTCTTCCAGAGTCTCTCAAGATGGAGACTAAAATCCCCAAGCCAAAAAATAAAGCTTTGAAGGTTCAAATAATTTCTAATCTTTTCAGCAGAACCAGTAAATAACATGATGAAAGTGAATAATTATGAAAAAAGACATTTATGTCAGTTAACCATGCACTATAATAAACTACATGCTTAAAAACCAGAATTCATGCAACATGTTTGCACCAATTGAAAACAGTAAAAAAAAACTATTTTAATCGTGGTTTTATGTATCAAAAGAATTACACTTTTCAAACCTCTTGAAACTTAACCGGAAACCTAACAAATGCCTTTGACTACAATAAAAGCAGTTGTTTAAAAAAAAAAACCCAAACCAAACTGGACGTATTTGCTTGTCACACTCATGAGCGTCTCACACATGGAGCCACACATGAAGCCAGGCCAAGGTTAATATTTATTACAGACCTGGGGACACAAGATAGGAAGTTCCTTCAAAACTGTAAAAATTCATTGCATGGCCATATTTACACCTATAAGTGCAAATTCTCCAGACAGACTTGGAGACTTACAAAACGGAATTTTACAATGCACCTTCCAATGATTAAAAAAGAAACTAAGCCTAACTACTTGGATACCTAATTGTTGCAATGGAACATTTGCTTAAAAGCTTAAATTCTTAGTTCATCCAATCTATCCCAGCAGCCCATGTGCACTTCTAGTCAGTCAGCTAGTGACGTGACCTGGGTTCAAATCCAGGACTCCGTGACACTAGGGCCACATAGCACAATCTACAGTGCTTTGCAAAAGTATTCAGACCTTTGACCAATTCTCTTATTTTAGTTCTTTGAGATTTTTATTCCTATTTATTAGCACTGAAACTCAAAATGAATTATTTTAATGTGACTGTGTTATGTTAGAAAATATTCTTAAGAAAAATAAAAAAAACTGAAACATGCTGTTTGCATGAGTAATCAATCCGTGTTGTGGAAACGGAGTTTACACAGGTGAAAAACACTTGCCCTAACGAGGACAAAATTGCCTTACAATTGGCCTCTACCTGTGAATCATTAAAATAACTGCCACATTTTGTGGATAAAAACCCCACAGTTAAGGGATCATTATTCAGGCTGTGAATCTGAAGGAGAGCTGTGAAAATGAAGACTAAAGAGCATTCCAAAGTTAACGATAAAGTAAAACCAATGCATAAATTAGGAAAAGGGTACAAAACAATATCCAAATGTTTGGGTGTCCCAGTGGGCACTGTTGGTTCAATGGAACAAGCAATAGCTTTATTCCATGCTGAAAAGAGAAGAAAGAAAACAACCTTTTGGCTGTGGAGCCTTCTTCAGGTGTAAGAAAGATGGGGCAGTCAGCAAAACAACAAGTCTTGAACATCGAACTGTTGGTTCAATTATCAGGAAGTGGAAGCTACATCCAACAACCCAGACACTTCCTAGAAAAGGTCATCCCTCAGAACTGTGGCTGAAAAGCTGATCGACATTTGTGTTCTCTCGAATTGACTACTGTAATGCTCTACTCGCTGGGGTATCTAAATCTAATCTGAACAAACTGCAGTATGTCCAAAATTCAGCAGCCAGAATCCTGACTAGGTCTAGTGCAAGTGATCACATTACTCCTATCCTGGAGTCCTTGCACTCGCTTTCGGTCAAATTCCGTGTAGACTTTAAAATCCTCATGCTCACCTACAAGGCTCTGCGTAGCTTGGCACCTCAGTACCTGCCTGAACTATTATTGCCCTACTCCCCACCTCGCAACCTTCACTCTTCTAATTCTGCTCTCCTTACTGTCCCCCAAGCCCGTCTACATTGTATGGGTGACAGGGCCTTCTCCTGTTACGCCTCCAAGCTCTGGAACTCTCTCCCCAGGGATATCAGAGTCACCTTCTCTAAACTCCTTCAAATCCAGACTCAAAACCTTCTTCTTTAGAAAAGCCTTTACTTAACTGGTTCCATTCTTCACCCCCCTGCTTTTCTTAGTACCACCATCCACGGTCTCCTCTGTATATTTTTGTTGTTTTTTATCTTGTGTATTCTTCCTATTTATTGTTGTTGTCATCTTGTAAAGCACTGTGAGAAGCCACCTTTAAAGGTGCTATATAAAATAAAGTTTATTATTTATTATTATTATTAACTTGTGAGAGAAGCCACAGAGAGGCTAACTATCACTTTGAAGGAGCTACAGAGTTCAATAGCTGAGAGCAGAGTAAAGGTGCACAAGTCAACCATATGAAGAGCTCTTCATAACACTGGCCTGTATGGGAGGGTGGCACAAAAGCCATTCCTCAAAAAGAACCATGTGAAAGCACATCTAGAGTTTGCCAAAAAGCACGATAGAGACCCAGCTGCGATGTAGGAAACGTTTTTGTGGTCAGATGAGACCAAGATAGAGCTTTTTAGCCAAAATTCAAAGTGATATGTGGCGCAAATCTAACACTGCCCATACCTCAAAAAACACCATACCTATAGTGAAGTATGGTGGTGGTAGCATCTTCATCAACAGGGACTGGGGATCTTGTTAGAATATTAGGAAGAACGAATGGGGCAAAACACAGGGAAATACTGCAAGAGAACCTGTTTCTGCCTGCTAAAAAACTGAAGCTTGGGGGAAAGTTCATCTTTCAGCAGGACACTGATCCCCAACACAAGGCCAAAGCAACATTGGAGTGGCTCAAGAACAAAAAGGTGAATGTCCTGCATGGCCCAGTCAAAGCCCTGATCTCAATACAATTGAGAATCTGTGGCACTATTTGAAAATTGCAGAGCACAAGCATCATCCGACTAACCGGAACATCCTGGTGCAAATCTGCCTGGAGGAATTGGCCAAAATCACTCCTGAACACTGTGCAATGCTGGTACATACTTACCCTGAAAGACTTAAAGCTGTTATTGCTGCAAAAGGTGGCTCTACAAAATATTAAAATGTGGGGATTGAATACTTATGCAAACAGCATATTTCAGTTTTTTATTTTAATTAAGAATATTTTCTAACATAAAACAATGTCACATTAAAATAATTCATTTGGAGCTTCAGTGCATTGAAAAAAATATAGAAGAACTAAATTTCAATGTAGGATTTGTAATTCAGTAAAACGAGAGAATTGGTCAAAGGTCTGAATACTTTTGCAAGGCACTGTATGTGCTGAGTGTGTACTGCCACTGAGAGCCTTAGAAATCATAGAATTAAATACCTGCAAGTCAATTCACAGCACTAACCTCTGAGAACTGTCAGATGTATAAAGGATGCCTAAACAAAGGGCATAATATAGGCAACAACCTTTTGAGAATAAATCTGAGCACTGCTAAAAGAATCACATTAAAAAAATGGGTACTTACTGTATCCAGAGTTTGCATTTGATCCATACCCATAGGTTCCATAGCCTCCTGTTGGAAGAATAAAACAGCAGATTAGGGTTTCCCAGTCCAATTGGATTTAATTGGATTGAACCCAAAGTGTCAGTGAATTTATCAATTAACACTTTGAGGTGGTTTTCAATTATGACAAGAACACATTTCAAGGATATTTCAGCAGGATCAGGAAGCCATTGTAAAATTGGAACAATGTGGTTCACCGTTAAAAAGACATTCAAAAACACAAGGCCCTATCACCTAGTTGCTGTTAGCACCATTCAAGGCAGTCTGTTTGGATGACAAACATGCTAGAGAATGAAATGTTTTATTTTCAACAACAAGCGGGGAGAGTCAGGCCAGGCACAGGAAGGCCAGAGAATGATCAAATCCGGTTGAAAATGATCAGCATGTTCAGTGGTAACATAGTGACAGTGGAGAGACTAAACTGACAGAGGGACCTCTTAAGCAGTAGGAGAGCATACAAAGAAGCGTCATGCATCAACGAAAGCCAATTTCTCCTGACGGACCTTGCTGAAGACCATATGTGGAGAATTTGTGATGAATGTTATGTGGACTGTTATGTCTTTCATACCAGTGTTTGTTTTGGGTGGTGAGGTGGAAGTGTGATTTGGGAGGAATCTCCTTTAACTCCAGTGCACATTGAGGAACATTCGTGAGAATACAGCACTTCTATTCCTGCAAGCCAATCGACAAGTGAAGAGGTTCCCACAGGCCAATGTAAAAACATGGCGTGCAATGATTTCAATGGGACGGCAAAGAAAATTGAGCCCTTGCTGTAGTCAGCTTCCCCCCCACCAAATCCAAACCCAACATCTCATTTGTGGGTAATAAAATCTTTATATCAAGGATAACATCCATTTAGATGCCATTCTACACTGCCGGTTTTTCCGATCCTTTGTGCAAAAAAATGTTTCTTTAGGTCATATTCCCACCTCAATGTGAAATACTCCAAAACCAACCTGCCAATTTCTCACCAATACCTGGGTAAAAGGCATCAAGAGACCCAAATAGCATTATTTGTATAGAAACGGACTGGTAAAAATGAACGAAAGGTGGTAGAGTGTACCTTGATTGTAGCCTCCTGCATTGTTGAACCCTCTGCCCCGCCCTCGACCACGCCCCCCTCGGCCACGCCCCCTGGGGTTGACTGCAGGGTCCGCTGGTGCGCCTCCCATCATGCCAAAGACTGGACTGTGCTGTAGGGGAATGTGTTCAAACCAACTTCATTCATTCACTCATGGTATACAAATTTCTAACATTATTAGTCTGCCGTGTGTATGTATGTGGAAGGGGGATTCCAGAACTATAATAAAAAACCTTCTCTTCTCTCAGAACTGGAAAACATATTTATCCCAACCACTCTTACTCTGACCACTTTGCTCTAGCAAATCCTCAGAGTACTGCATAAAACAATGGTACCCACTATCTCACAAAACATACAGTTCCATGTTTATATAAACTGGAAGCCAGGTTTTGAGTTGATTCAAAATAAAGGCACACTATTTGGAACTGTAGCTGTGGCAGATTAAGTTTCTGCCCGAGACTGCTGTACCACACAGGGAGAGTGAGAATGGACATAGATGCCAACCTGTCACGGTTATCTTCTGACAGTCGGCTGTGTGTAATCATAGCATCAGCACTAGAGCAGCAGTGCACTCGCAGTAGCACTGCCACAAGAGCGCACACAGCCAAGTCACAGTAGGCCGTCCTTTAGAATGCTAGATCAGACAGCACCCTGATCGACCGCTTCGAACCCTATCCCCTGTGCTGCGCTGCTGTAGGAAAATCCCAGTCCGCCCACTAGTGTTGCAGGCTCAGACCGATGACTTTTCTTATACCACACTCCTGGTATAGTTTAAAAACAGTTACCTCCACTATGTTGACCCCCACAGTTTAAGAGTACTCTCTCTCACCCTAGCGTTAATCCCACATCAGCAGGGTCTCCATTTTTGAACCAAATCTTTGAGCTGACATTGCCATTAAATGCGACTGAGAATACTCCGACCGGCACGTCGCTCCGCCTGCCGTCGGAGTGGGGGGAAGAGGAGAACAGAGTAATGTAGCCAATTCATAGAGGGGGATAATTAGGAGGCATGGAAAATTTGGCCAGGACGCTGGGGTTACACCCCTACTCTTTTCGAGAAACACCCTGGGATTTTCAATGACCACAGAGAGTCAGGACCTCGGTTTTACGTCTCATCCGAAAGACGGTGCCCGTTTTACAATATAGTGCCTCCGTCACTATACTGGGGCATTAGGACCCACATGGACCGCCCCCTGCTGGCCTCACTAACACCTCTTCCAGCAGCAACCGTAATTTTTCCCAGGAGGTCTCCCATCCAGGTACTGACCAGGCTCACATCTGCTTAGCTTCAGTGGGCTGCCAACTGTAAGTTGCAGGGTGACGTGGCTGCTGGCTACACAGTTTAAATGTACTCAAAATAGTCAAATAATTTAAAAAAGCACTGACTTTTACTTAGGCTCACCTGAAAATTCATAATGAACAAGAACATTATTTCAAATCCTGTAGCCCTTCACTCATATCCAGCACCACCTGCATCCCCTGATTCTTCTCAGGTGCTTCTCCAGATAGTTTTCCCAGTATAGACTTGTATATTCCATGCATAGCTAGATTTTGCATCACATGCCAATGCAAATTTTGATGCCATACTTAGCCTAAAGGCCCAGCGCCCTCTGTATGAAATAAGGGCATTCATCCAATGTAACATGCAAGCCATGATGGTATATAAAGGGCAGGATATCCACCTATTTTGCCCATACATCTCTGACTGCTGCCAGCTTGTCTCTTTCACATCAAGCAGGTCTGGTATCAGTTATCAGAACAAATCACCCCATAAAATCATAAAGTCATAAAATGATTCCAGTGACATGACTGCCGGAAAAACTGCCTTTTCCGTTCTCGTCATTCAATAAACTAGCAGCTGATTCTACCTTTGATTTGTAAACTCCAGCTAATATCAGCTAAAGAACCTATGTATGGATATTAGTTGGTCTGATCAAGTGACTTCTAGTTCTTTTCAAATCGCACACCACCCCTCCAAGGTGGTCATGTCCAGTGTAATCTTCACCCTCGCCTGAGGTATAAAGAGCTCAAATGCTGATCTTGTCATGGATTCAAATGTCTGCAAATCCGTAGCCCTTGGCTCCATTTTGATACAGCGAAGCCGACCATTCTGTATTCCCATCCTGAGGTTTCCATAACCCTTTTCTTGAGGATGGTTGTTGTTCCAATTTTTTCATTGGCTGAAGGCAAAGCCATGGCTGATTCCTCCTCTGACCCCTCTCCCGAAGAAAATCCACAGTTAGGATCACCAGTGTCTTCTGTCTCTGAAACCTCCTCTATTTCACTATTGCCATCCACAACCTGGGATAACACTTCACTGATCTTCTGAAGCTCATTATTGAGTGTCTCTAGTATATACGTGCTGACACAGCAGTGAGTAGGAGACAGTTCAAGAAAGCTCTTTTTACACTGTCAGATACTTATAAAAGAACAAAACTAATTAGCCAAACCAAAGCAAATTAAACAAAAAAAAAGTAAAGATGCATGTTTATTTTTTATGTCAAAATGACCCACATCATCATCTTTGTATACACAGTCTGCACAGACTTTCCAAAACATTTCAAGGTTCAACCACTCCATATGAGCTCATGACTAAACAAGGATAAGTCATTAAATATTACTAACTAGAACAGTAAAGCTGTCTGGCTTAAGACTCAAATGGGCCAAACTTGCTCACAACATAATTGCTACTCACCATTGGAGGCGGCTTCTTCTTTTTAGCAGACTCTGTTGTTGAACCCTCGGGGAAAAGGCGCTCAAGTGCAGCTAACGCAGCATAAGCCTTTGCTACCTTCTTATTGGACCCCGTGCCCTGGAACTTCAGGCCATCGATCTCAACCTGACAGACAAGCATACAGACGATCACATCAAACAGAGCACACTAGCTAAGGAAGAGGCAGGCTCAGCGATTTCTTTTTCTCCCTAGGCAGGACACTTCTAACGAGATATCAAAACCAAGAGGATACACGGATGGGAAACTGCAAACACCATGCATTTCTCTAAAACATTTCAGCACTTCAGCTGCCATGATTTCGTACATTAAAGGAAAACTTTCTTGCCATGTTCACCTCGTTAAAAACACTTGTCAATACTTGTGATCTTTGATGAGCTGGCAGTATAACAAAGTGTGGGACAGCACACATTTAAAATGAAAGTTAATACTGTGAAACAAGGCCTCCTTTCAAAATATGACCCCATATAAACAGCAGCTGAAGGTAGAGAAACAGGATTGGCAGGTGGAGTGAATAAGCGATCTTATTCTGGTCTCATTTATTTCCAAGGCTACAGGACACTGCGAGACGACTTACTTCCATAACGAAGCGCTTGTCGTGGCTCCCGCCCGTCTCGGAAATCAGCTCGTACTTCAGGCCGCGCCGTTTCTCGTTCAGCTCCATGACCGGGTTCTTGCCGTGCTTCGTCAATATCGGACCCTGCTGTCTGGAATTCTAGGGGACAGGGGAAAAAGCAGCTTTATACTTCATATACGCAAAAAGAAATGGAAGCCCACCCATCAATCCATTCAATTTGGTGGCTAAAACAAAAAACTACGCCAACTACAAGGCAAAACGCCCTCAAAGCAATAAACAGCACACAAGAGGACCTTGCAGACACTGGTGTCAGCATTGCCAAAAAGAGGCAAAGAGGTTCATCAGCACAGGTGCTGCTCTACATCGAGACCTTTAAATCATCCAGCTCTTATAGCCGTCATTAACAGCAGCGAGATCGATTAAGAAGCATTTTTAAATGTCATCACATTCAAAGTATTAATCACATGTATCCTATTTTTTTAACACAGTAGTTTAGGTAGCTTTGTTGACCTTTTTCTTTTTACACTGAACGGTTCATGGCAGTTGACGTGGCTGGTTTTATTCAATGCTGAATACGTTTGGTTAAGAGTTAAATATAAGGGAGGTACATGCTGCTCTCCCTCAACGCATTGCGTAGCCAAGACTAAAGACAGCAGCAGAGCTCTGAACTGTCTAGATTACAGAAGAGATGACCCTCCCAGTTACACAGGAAAAAAGTACACAAGTTGTCATATTTAGATATTCATCAGGCTTTTGGTAAAGGTATTTTAAAAATTGCAGGAGGAAGGCATTCAACATAATGCATGGACTTATGAACAGGAAACAGGTTAAAGGAAAAAATAATGGTTTAGTGTGGCCAGTATAACTAGCAAAGTTCTCTTAGACATCATTTACAATAGTTTATATAAATCTGGTCCAAAAACTAGAGCTCTGGAATTGAGAAAGAGCAGCAGGACACAAAGGTACACTGAAAGAAGTGTCCAACACTGAAGTGTGGAGGAACCGAGCCATGTTGCTTTTGAACAGAGAAGACCATGAGGGGATCCAGTTCAAAACCTTCAACTATAGCAAGAACAAACTGACAACTATGAGTAAAGAAGAAAGCACTTCTTTACAGCAAGGATCATGAATGTCTGATACAAGCTACGCAGTGACACCCTAGTTTCCTGAGTACTAATCACTGAAGAAAGAATGAGCTAGATGAGCCTAATCTTTTACAACCAGTTTAACATTCTTAAAACCAATGCAAGGGTTACCATAATACTTAATGGGAAAGCTTAAAATTACGATGACATAGTAAAAACATTCAGATTCACAGCATATAATAATATTTCAAAAAAGTATAGGATTCTTTTACATAAAGAAACAAGTGCTTCTAGCCCCCAGATAAATTAAAATGTATCCATGCAGTTTTGCTCAATTCTAACAGGAAATTGAAAACACCTTTTCCGATCACACACCTCTGTGCTGTCCGCAGTCTCAGAATTTGGCGCCGCAGGGGTGCTGGAATCTGTAGCTACAGCAGGAGCAGCAGGAGGCTTCATCTCCACATCATTGGGCACTTCTTCCCCTTTTGTGGAATCAGCGGTGGTCTTTACCTCCACTCCGGTAGGCAAGCCCATATCCTGCAGGACCTGCAGTGGACGGGAGGGAAAATAAAATTCCGTTTACATCCAGTGCAAGAAATGTAATCCGGATAAACACTTAGCCACCAGCAATGCGGTAAGGAATCGTCTTCCTTTTGGAAAAGGATTGTGCCCCGATGGATAGGGTAGACGGCAATACTTTAACTAAAAGTCAAATTTTACTTTCCATGAAAGACCCAACTGTAATGTAATGCAAACCCAGTGAATCCGCAAAATGTTTACACTGAGATGATAAAGGGTTTAAATTGAAAACACATAATTGGAAGCAAGGGGACTGATTATAACACCAAACCTATACGTGGGTTCAAGTAGGAGAGGAGGCACACACTAAGGAAAGCTTCCAGCAGCTTTCTGAACACTTCTAAGTAAAGGGCATTTCTTTTACCTTTGGACAAACAATGAAATAGTCATCTACCGCTAAAATTCTATTTCCTTTAATCCTGAGGGGAAGGGCCACTTACTGTGTTCAGAAACAATTAAAAGATGATTCCCTACTGCAAGGGATCCCAAACCCATTTCTGGAAAACCACACACCTGCTGGACTTAGCTCCTTCCAAATTCTTAGTTTCACAACGTAATACTTATTCTGATTTATTCAAACCGTTTTCAGCTCTTAAACATATTGGAGTTTGTCTTTTAACCATTGAACTTCCTTTGTAAACAAAATCCCTAAGCACAAAAAAAATCATATATTTCAAATTTCAGTTCAAGTAAAGCTTGATTAGGTAATTAAGCTCCACACTAAGACTGAGATCTCTTGCCCTACTGCATTTCCAATGGGACTGTGCAAACCCCCCGAGGTTTTACACCTGAATACTGAAGCCAAAAAAGAAAAGAAAAGCACTGTGCTGCTCTTCAGTAAGGTCCTACTTCACTGTAGAGGACATGTACCTTTACTGCTACATGAAGCTTGGCTGTCCTTTTCGAAGGACCAGAAGCTTCAAACGTCTTCCCATCAACCTCCACAGCCATCGTGAAGACGGGTACGTGTACCGGGCCGGTCTGAGAGATGAGCTTGTACTGCAGTCCTGGTTTCAGCTGGTTCAACCTCATGAGCGCGTTCATAGCCTGGGGAGGCTCGGCCTTCTCATCCGGTGCTAACCAATGGAAAAGAGAGCAACTCAATTTTCCACAGCTACACTAATGAACCTGTACACTTGATCAAATGGAAAAGCTACAGCTAAAAAGAGATTAAAATGATATTCCAAGGTATAAAAAAAAAAACACTTTTTGCACTCTTTCAGCTTCCTGTGCTCCTCCGCTGCTTTTCATAGATGAATCATAATGTTGTATTCCTCAGGTTATATTGTAAGACAAAATATTTTGCAACTGCACTTAAATAATATAAAAGATATAAACATTTACCTTATCCATAGGAATGTCTACAATTTTAGACCTTGTATTTCTAAAATTACAGCTAAGCAAAATAAAGCTATTGCCATCCTCGGACTAATAGGGAGAAGATGCTTTTCCCCACTACACAATGGCTAAGAAACAGCCTGAACTATTTCAGTTCTGTTCAACAGATTATTAATAATATTTAATATATTAAAAGGAGCACAGCTTTGATCACAGCACAATACAGTCTGGCCTCGTGTTTACTAGCACAAGGTCTCCACCAAGTCACAGCCTGCACACAGGCCCCATCATCTGGATCGGATACCGCTCAACAAAAAAAAGGAAGCTCACATTTCTTCTGCAGCTTCTTCTTCTTCTTATTTGGGTTTTTGTCATCCCCTCCTTCCTCTTCCTCGATTGGCCGCTTTGCTGGAGGAGCATAGGTGGTACTCGGAGGAATCTGAACTGTAAGGGATTAAACGCGAGACATCAAGTCGCCGCTTAACACCAGCAACCTTCGGGGCCTGGAATTCCCCTTTAATGCCACCATTTCCATCGTCAGAAATACTTGTTAACATATAATATGTAACTTGTAGAAATTATCCAGAAACTCATTACCAGCACAGTTTATTTTCCAGTGAAATTTCAGATATCCTTCAGACTGTTTCTTAATTGGTTTGCAAAGGAATTTTGGAATAGTCATTATGATAAAAACATTAATAAGATGTGTATAACATATATTAGTTTGGGGGGTGGAACCAAAGTGTTGTGTGTATACACATTCTTCTAAGAACTATTCTTGTATTCCAATATCTATAACACTTCTATTTAAAATACAAGTTTACCTGTATAATCAATCGGCGCGTCAGTTTTTGGTTTCCTTGGCATCTTGGAAGGTAAGGGGTCCATTCCTAGCACTTTGTGAAGCTGACCAAAAGCAGCCAGTCTTAAGGCGTGCTGTAAAAAAACAGAAAAACTCAATCATATAGACCTTATACATTTCTAAATTACTTTTGATGCTGTTGTACAATTCTTGCATATACTAGACTTCACTGCATGTTCATATCATGAAAACTAGATCACTGGAGAAATGAATTACATTTGGAAGTAACTTCAATATGAAATAAAGCACAGTGTTTCTACTTGCTGGAGTTTGCAATTGATTTAGGTTATCTATGCGTCTTAACTTGATATATCAGAATATGAATAAAAATGGTTCTGCAAAGAGATTCAAAACCCACATTTTCTGCCATTACCCTGTCTACCAAAAGAACAGAGATCCAGTTAGATCCAGTTAATACACAGAACCGTTATGTGGGTGACAATATCAACCTTCTGCATCAGATCCTACACAAAGGACAAAGACAGGCTGCCAGTCATGTTCTGTGCCCAGCTGTCACAGCTGTGTTTCTGTTATTTCACAAGCGGCCAATTCCGCTATGGCAAGACTTCAAGCTGAATTGAATTCTTTTATCAGGGCATTCACAGCAAGGCAGGAAGCCAGTACAGTGAGGCTGGAAATGCTGAAACGGAAGCCCATCTGATATTCAGAGCGCCGCGGGCGAGCAGTAAGGCTCACCTGAGCGCTCTGCGTGATGTCCTCCCGCTGTTGACGGTCCAGGTGGCTGATGGCATCGGTGGTCTCCTTCTCACAGGGGTCAGAGATCCCAGGACCATCTGGAAGGTTTAAAGTCATTTAAATAACTTCCTCCTGTACCTTTGATCACTGATCACTAAACGAAATGCATAGGCTTAAAAAAAACTACCAAAAAAGGCCATTATTGTTTTGTTACTGGCTTTTATGCATGGCAACGTGAATTTAAAAACGGTCACTAAACACCAGCAAATATGAGGTTCACCTAACAAAAGGACCAAAGAGAGAGAAACTAATATCATCTACGGTAAACCAGAACAACTCCGATATTAAGAATTTCATAAAAGCTCTTCTGGACACCACAACATACATTTTCACTATTAACCCTGCTCTTCATCTTTTGATCACAATCGAGACTAAAGAAATCTTGCAACCGAGGATTATTTCAGGAAGTGCCTTTTAACACCCAAGTGTTAATTTTACCTGGCATTAGGATCCCAGAGGCAAGGCACTCGAGGACTCTGCGAAGCGCCTCTCCGGCTCCCATGGGCCTGTTTCCAGTTCCTATCGCTTTTTCGCACAGCAGCTCCAGTGGCTGACATCGTAAAGCAGGGAGAGATCATGGTGAAAAATCTAATAAGGTTTGCCAGGTCTTCAAGCAAAGCTGCAACACTTCTACAGGTGGCAAATGAATCAGGGTCTCATGAGTTGGGGGAAAAAAAGTACAAGATCAATTAAGCTGCTGATTTTCAGAATAAAATGGCAAACACTTGCTACAAATTTAAATATACTTCTGCCCTTTAGGACTAGAGTTTCATTAACTAAACAAACTACTTCGTTAATGCATAACTCACAAGTCTTCCCAATCTAAAATAAGGGTTTTGGGATCATCGATAAATTGACAAGGATTGGGTCCTCCAGGACGAGGGTTGATGACTTGTCACTAGGTCAATAGAATTATCAGAACTGAAGATAACTTCCAGATGTAGAATATCAGCACACTCATCCGAGTTTTTCATATTGCTGATTGAAGGTCATTTATAATCTTGCCACATGCTTCAGGAAATGTTGGCAGTACATTTTCATTGTTATGTGTGCTCTATAATTTAAGTCCAAGTCTAGATTGACCCCTGTGCTGCTACTCACCCATCCTCTAAGCGGCGCCCATGTGGGGACCCGCGAACACAGGTCCCTCAGTATTCGGATCACTATGACGCAGGACTTCAGCCCATTGGCCCTGGCCTAGAAGAAGTCGGGAAGGGAGAGCAGGCTTCAGCAAGCGTGAAGAATCACCATCCTTACACCTCGCGATTAACATTCAGAGGTATACCAGTCAAACGTTCAGGCCGTTAACACAGATTCAGAGAAGTCTAAAGCGCAAGTGGCACACCATGACTTCAAATATAAAACCATCTAAGACCGTGCTAGGAATAAGAAACTCTGCTTAACAAAAGTTAAAGATCGGTACAAGTGCGCGTCCCCATTATTGGCTCTTGCCATTGTATTACAGAACTTAAGAGCAACAAGATCTTCAATTATTTTACCGTATTAGCTCGAAACAGCTGAAACAAAGATTTGTCATAAAATGCAGAAGCCAAGGATGCCCACCCAACCTCAGTCAGTTTTGGGTTAACACCATCCTTTCCAGTCTACTGCAGTGCACGATTGTGACACACCCTGCCATTTGATTCAGACCAAAGGTTCTGAAGATTTTCATTCCACCTCTTATCAAAGCTCGATTGTTACCATCGGAAGTGGATCAAATTAAGTTTCTCCCAGGTCTTCAGGTGTTGTTGCTTTAAAGAGACCTAGAAAGCTTGCTCTTATGTTGGCCCTCCAGGACCAGGACTAGACACTATTTGTTTGCCAGCTGAATACTTAAGGAGCTGGCTGCGCCCAAAAATCGCACTGAAATTGAACTGGATGGCAAGACACATGAGGACTTGGTGGGGGTGTTCCTTTTGGCCCAAGCTGTCATCCAACTAACGGGCAATGGAGGCTGAACTTGGCCCTCACTGGTAATTTTGCAACAACATTAAGGCAAGAAACGACCCTGAGCAACTTTGTAACTAGTAAAATCCCAAAAGGCCTCTACATTATTTGAACAAGTATACCTCTACTCTACAGTGACAGAAAAGGCAATGGAAGGTGCAATATTTCTTTTGGACTGAGTGTTACAGAGTTGGGGGTTTACAGTTCTGGTTCTCAGTACCCCCCCCATCCACATCTTCTGTTTGTGTTCCAGCTGAGCTGTTGCGCTCCTGGATGAGTCAACGCATGTAAGTTAATTTGAAAACTTAACTTGAACATGCCAGCAATGTGTTTTTACTGGTCTCGTCTTATAAAATTACATTAAATTGAGACCTAGACAAGGGTCTCATCGAAGGAATGATGATGATGATTCCTTCAAGAACGATCTAGCAACAGCTTGACTGGATAAAATAACAGCAGCTGTGTGTGGGGGGGAGTCTGAGAAGCAGAATGGGAGGAGCAGAGGGAACCTCTGCCATAAAGGATGAAGAACAATGAGCATGGAGCTGAAACATCTGTAAACCAAAATAAAATTACTAAACAGATGGAACACTCAGTACTACAACAGATTTACTAATGGACTTATAAGGAAAATAATACTTCATCAGCACCTGATCAGCAGTTGCTCTATAATTCCCTTCCTAATTATATGTTATGCAGTAAAGATTAGTGGTAAATGGCATCTATGAACTTACTGGACAAGGTGAAACATGCAATTAAATTCAGAGATATCTGCAGATGGAAACCTCAACAAAACCTGGTTTAACTACTTGAAACCCATCACTTGAAAATCCATTTGATCATGGCTTACACCCTAAAGAAATATTGCACCCACAAACAGTAAATGCAAGTTAGGTTAATACAATGTCAGCTATTTTGACAAGGGTAAACAAAATAAAATGGGAAATGTCCATTAGAATTAATATTCACGAGACAAGTGTATTAAAACATACTCTTAAAAAGCAGGAAGTGAAAACCATTATGCCTAGTTAAAAGCTAAACCTAAAAGAAACTGTGTACTCTTTGTAACTCAAAACATTAAGAGTTGAAGTATTTCTCCCTAAGACAAGTGCCAAATCCGGCACTATACATTAACTGCATCGATTAAAGAGAAAAGAAAAAAAAAACTAACAGTGGTAACACTTCAAATGCACAAGAAAAAAATTCCACTACTTTAAGACAAATAAGAACAAGATGCAAACCTGGAACCACTTGGCGTGGCGGAGAGACGCCAAGGCAGTAAGGCATTTCTGCCTGTCCAGAACATCCGGGGGATCGTTGACTGATAGCGTTTCTATTGGCGGGTGGAATAAGAAGACAAGGTACAGTTTGACCAAGGGGGTTCTGTCAGACGGCGAGGGGGAAGAGGCAGCTTTCCCAACCCTGGCAGAAGGGGCGAGGGGAGGGGGTCCCCCCAAAAATATAATGAAGTCTGGCAAAAATAAAAAAACAACTGCCAGAGCACCAGAAAATAACCTCAAGCTTAACAGCTTGGTTCACTGCTTCACTTACAGCCAAGACTGGTGATGGGATCAAATGAATTATCACTTCCCATACAGGGGACAAGTCAGGGACTTCATCTCCCTGCTTATTAAATCTTTAAATGATCCTGCTCTTGGCTGAGCAATTCACTTGTGCGTGTATATATAATCAGGGAGTCGACCCCACCCCTTTGCCCCTTTGGGTATACTGCATAGCCCCTTCCGAGACAGAGCGCGTCCAGTTGGTCAAAGGTCCAGCGTCCCTAAAATTGACAAACTAGAAGGCTTGATAGACATGAATCAGATTTGAACCACAGGCAGCAAGAATCAGGTGCACAAGTATAAAAACGAGTCTGCACTGCAGCAAAATTGATCGCTTCACAACCAACAAAGGTTTTGCTCTTGGCATGGGGTTTAGATAAGGCCAGTCATCCTGTCGGCACAGCTATTTCCAAACGTGACCTAGGAAAGCTGTGATCTTGCTTTTCCTACAATGTATGCTTCTTCTTTCCTCTTTACCTTCCACATTATGATCTTTCTCCTGCGGTAACCTTATTTTGGGAAAAAACTGCTTCTAGAGGATGATCTTCTCCAGCCTTCCCTGACTCCATCAAGTACACTGCTCGATTTTTTTGACTGTGACTGGGTGAATTTGCATTCAACCATGCAGAGCCAAACTGCCCAACATTATCTATAACCCATGCCTCCCTGCTACAACACAATTTCAAGTCCATAGCCTTCTAGCGGCTAGCAACCAGAACGGTACAAACTTGCTACTCATTTTTGCTGCAATACAAACTGTTAATACAATTTCAGCATAAAAACACATGCAATTATTTTTTTTGTTTTGTTTTTGAGATTTTTTTTAAACTCAGAAAGCCTTCAATAAATATTTTACTTTTATTAAAGAGAAAGAAAATCGTTACAGGTTTATAAGTTTAGCTACTGCTTTACTGTGTATTGGGCCATCAAAAATGCTACATTTAAAAGGACTAAAGGCTAAAAATAGCAAAGGCTCAGTACATTACTGCTAGAGGACTCAGCTCTATTGAAGGCCCAATAAACAATGGACAGGGAGTCTGCAGTGAAAGCGGGGCTGCTCCGGACTAGCCTACCTCCGGCGGCCTGCTTCTCCGCCTCCTCCCGCACCACAGGGGACGTCAGGTGGATGGTAAGGGTCAGCACGGGCTCCTTCGTGCTCTTGATCACGATGGCAGCTTCGCGGATGCTCTGGATGATCTCGTACTTCTCTTCTGTGATGCTCTGCAAAGCAAAGGGGGAAAAAAAAACCCAAAATTACTTTTATTTTACAGAATTGGACAAAACCTGATCGGAACGGTCCGCAGAGACCAAAATTCCGTGGGGTCAAAAGTTCACCAAAGAACTCAGATTCATCGCCAATGATTAAAAAAAAAAGAAAAACATTAAACTGTTAGCGCTAGTACTATTATATTACATTTACTAAAGCTGAAATCAAACCTGAGAGATGGCAAATCTATTTTTTAAACTGACGTTTAACAGCCAAGCTGTCAGGACTAAGGAATTGGTTTAACATGGCATCTGAAGGATAAGCACTCACTTTAGTGTAATGCACAGTTTGAAAGTGAGATTTAGAGGTTCCAGCAGACTTGACTCCCCGACTGCCTCGAACAGGAAACACCCTGGGTCTGGGTACATGCATTTAGAAATTAAGGACAACCAATGGACGGGCTTTGACAAAAGCACATTCAAAAATATGGACTCAAGATGTTCCTCTGAACCAAAAAACAACTTACTGCAAACTGCACTGCCAGGTTCTCAGCCACCTTCTTGAGCAGAGTGATGGTGGGTTTGTCCTTACAGAGCAAGACCAGCTCCAGATCCAAATCTCCCTTCAGCAAGAGGCCCTTCGCCACAAGGCCCACCCTCATCACACCTCGTAATGTCCTGGTCGCCTGTTCTGTAGGCTTCTGTTCACTGAAAACCAATAACAACGCAGTCACAAGACCGTACTGGACATGCACATTGTATTGCATACAAATGCTAATGCATCAGTGAGGATCTGGATAAGTACCAGGATATTGGCTTTTCAACAAGCTTCCCAAACGGCAAATCACTCTGACATCATGCAATTAGAACCATGTCCTTACCTGTTGCATGGCAGCCAGGAATGCACAACACAATAAAATCAAGGCAGATTTAATTCCAAATTCACCTTCAGAGGTCACCAATTTGGAAGAATAGCTGCCTAAGGGCAGGAGAGGAGCTGGCTAGTAGGCAAGACCAGATGTGTTCAACCATTCCGGCCGAGGTGAGGGTCACAGCAAGGGGGCGGGGGGGAGGGTGCCGGAAAAACGAAAGGGAAACCAAAAGTCAAGCCCCTGGGCCGCCTCACCTCTCCTTCTCTTCCTCCGCCGCCCCCTCCGCGGGAGCATCCGGCTCCTGCTTGACGACGACAACGACCTTCTCCTGCTCGTCCAGCCAGTCGGACACGGCCTTGAGGGCGCGCTCCGTGTGGGACACCATGTTCTGCACGCCCTCCAGCTCCTCTTGCGTGGGGTAGACGGCCGAGTGCTTCGCCATGACGTGGCGGTCGTCGTTCACGAAGATGCGCATGGGCCGCTGGCGGAAAGGGGGAGGCTGTCATAAAGTTAGTCACCCTGCTCTGCGGCACCATTACCCTTTCAGTCAGTACACACACCCTCAAATCACGCTCAGAGAGCCGGAAGAAAAGTCATTTCCTTTGGCTATAACACTTAAAATATCTACCTAACTGGAAGGAAACCACAGATATACACCAGGAGTTCTTTTAGCTGCCAGTAAGAAAACTATCACAAGAAAATGGTTTACTAAAGAACCCCCCAACACCAGAACAATGAACAAATGTTGTGAAAGAAAATTTCTTAGGTTACACACAGAGAGGTTTAGCCAATACTGGCAAGCCCAGATTGGGTGTGTGGCCCCACCGAGACCTGATTTTTTTCTATGAAAGAGGATGAAGTAATCTATTGTCTGGATTGCTGGTGGTT